AAACTTAAAGCGGAGTCAAGACTTGTATATTTTCTCATTAAAAGTAAACAATAAATTAGCCCAAAATAACTATCAAAAATAGCAGTTCATTATATCGAATACGATGTCCCCAGAAAACGCGAGCTGGTCTTTCCACATAGATATTTCTAAAGGTAAAGCGATGAAAATGGGTGCCAGAAGCAGCTCTAATCATAAACATTTATGGAACGAATAGAACTCGCTTTTTTTTTTACATTTTTCGTCGTTTTTTGTTATCTTTCAACAGCAACAGAAACTAGAGAGCATAGTTATAAGATATTGATGTGGGTGGAGGGTGGTGGAATCGGGGCTGAAACAACAATTCAGATTTAGCAAGATTTCCTTCTCTACAATTATGTGGTTTATTAAATACATATGGATATTCCTTCATATTGTATATTATATATAATTCATTTGATTTACTTAATTGCTATGCATGTGTGTGCCACTTTAAAACAGAAAAAAAATATATATTGCTCTGATCCCGATAACGTTACTCTCAAACTATGTGAAACCATAACTAATCAAGTAAGCTTTCATTTGAAAATAAAGCTAATAAATCTCGATCCGTGTTCGAGTCAATCAATTCCGATTTCACATAATGTGATTGAAGACGAAAACGGGAACAGGTGGATAGATCTGCATAATTTCTGGTATTCCATATGGGGTAGGGGTATAAAACAAGTGGATTAGGGGGAATTTGGAATAGAGTTAACAATAAATTAGATTGGTATGTAGTGCGTTCTATCTCTCATCCGCGGAATGTCCTTTTTACGTGCGTGTGTGTGTTGTGTGTAAGTACTCACAAGTTGAATATTTCACTTTAGTTTAGCTGTTGCAGTGTTCGTGTTCGTGTATAACTTGATTTAAACTTAGTTTGCATTTTTAATTGCATTATCTCGACGTTAACAAATTACATTTTAGTATAATTTCCATACAAATTATCGTTACTTTCATTTATACAATTAACAACCAGGCTAAATAGTTCGCTACAGATCCCCGCCCGCTGAGAACTCCGCCCACCTTCATCCTACTCCTCCAATTAGAGCGAGAAGCAATTACGCGGATAGAGAGGGAGAAGGCGGGCGAGTGGTGGGCGGGGAAACTAATACACAATTTCAATTGAATTAAAAATCTTTAACTTTAACGCGTGACGCCTTTGCTGAATGTTCTGTTCAATTTTTTGGTCTTATTCAAAACGATAATAATTTGCTTGCAAATGGTGAATAAAAAAAACATCTGTAGAGTCTTACAACATAAAGTTCTGGGGGATAGGAGCGCAGCAGCAGCAGGAACAGGATGATGTCTATCTAGAACTGCACCCAGTTGGCGTTGGCTGAGTTCTGTTGTCCTTGGTTGCCACTGGAAATGAAGGATTCGCGTTGTAAAAAAAAAAGATTCAATGCTCATTTGTAAATCACAAGTCAATTGGCTGTTTGATTACTCGAAGAACATAGTTTGAGATAACCCCAGCTACAACTCACCCGGCGGATGCATAGTCGGTCCATTCGGATCCTCCAGCGGCGGGTCTGTGGGCGGGCGAAACGCCGGGACTTTGCCGTACCGTCGTGGCTGCGGCGGCGGCCGGTGGCGGAGCGATCTTTCCAAGGCCACCAGGCGGCGGTGGCAGCACGCCCGAGGAGCCTTTGTTCTTGCCAGTGCGCGAGGATCCCTCGGAGCCATCTTTTTTCTGAAATCGAAATATTAAAATTTTACACATTAAAAAAGTTCGATTCAGCGATTTCTTAAGTCTGAAATCATAATCGTGGACCATAATGATCAAGTTTCAGCGATTCAGATAGGCTGATTAGACAAAAAGAGAGGAATGCGCACATTTCCAACAAAATGGCTCTGAAAGTGAGTCGTCTTCGATGCAGAAGCTGATAAAGCACAAAGTGTAGGGCTTGACGAGATTCGTTACGGAAATGTTTATTTAGCGCTTTAAGACTATGCAGCTGAACCCACCGTTATCCTCATGTTGATCTTGATGGTCTCGCCCTCCTTGAATCCCAGATCCAGCTCCTGCTTGGGCTCCGTCTTCTCCTTCTCGATCTGCTCCTGGTTCTTCACCCACTTGAAGTGGTCTTGCAACGCCACATTCAGATCGAACGAATCGGATCGATCGCCGAATCCGAGGCCAAGGAATGCCGATCGTCCATTATCGTCCTGCACGCGGATGACAAAGTACCGGGAGCTATCGGAAACCGCCTCGATGGCCACGCCGGGATATGTGTCGATGGGGCAGTTGGCGAACAGGGCACCACTGGTCTTGTCCTCCAGCTTCAGGACGACGGCGGTGCCCTTGGCCACCAGTCGCATCCTGCCCGTCCAGGTGGGCTCTTTTAAGTTCCAATCTCCAGCTCTGTAAAATGGAAAAATTAGTCAAAATAGTTCTCTTTTTTGCGCAAATTGTATGTACTCTGATAAGGAAAGCTAAATATATTATTTACATAGGTCTCGAAATCTTGCAGAAATTGAACGACATGGACTTTATCTGGCATTTCTAGTCTAAGAATTCTGCTTTTATTTTTCATGTTATCTGGTAAAAACTCCGGTACTGAGGAAAAATATGAGCATATTGCTAGTTATAAGAAGTGAATTAAACTCTTAAAATCCATCAAATACCAGGATGATGGAAGATTTGGAATAGAAACTGGGAAAACGATTTTATATTCCAATATACAAGTATCCCAATATGATATGTGTGATCCGCTGATAATGCAATTGCAATACTTTGCTATATACATAGCTACTGAAGATACCGTCGGTATAAAGAGCTTAATATCTTGTAAGATAGTTGAGGGACCTACTACACGATGTACACAAGCCATAAATTTCAATATAAATAACCGGTAGAATGTAGAATTCGGTTCTTGTAGATTAATTCACCAGGTATTCGATTAATGGGTCGTTCATGGCCATTTAATTATAGTATACCCCCAATATTTGAGGTATTCCGTTAATATGTGTTATTTGCTCACCTGAGCGCAGTTAACTGTGAAATAAACAGCAACAAAAGGAAAACAAAGAGAGTGGCTACAAAGAGCAACAATTACACGCACGCCAGCGAAGCTATTTCACTGCCCCCCGTTTCTTTCTGTGTGTTTTCTGTTTTTTTTTTTCTCGCTTTTGACTCCCTGATACGTGTAAGTGAAAATGTTCAATAATAATTGCACGGAAAAAAATCAATTGCAATTGAACTTCACAGCCTCAACAGCAGCAGCAAGAACAACAAAGAGTCGTGCCTGTAACCTTGACTAAGAATGAAAAGCATAATTAATGCATTCCCACACCCCCAGTCGATATATATACATATATATTTATATGTGTTATATGTGCAGTGAGTGGGCGTTAAAAAGCACGAAAAACTTTCAATTTTGGTGGCAGAAAATCCAATGCAAGAGGCGAAAAAAAGTAGTCACCTCTTTTCCCAACCGATTTATACACTTACCTGTAGCCTCGATTGCTCGCCCGGGGCGGTATTTTGTAGATAAACACCTCCGGCTTCACGATCAGCACACTTTCGTATTCCATCTTATTTGAAATTCAACTATTTTTGACTTTGTTTATTATCTGAATTTTGCCAAGTGTTTTTTTTTTTAAGCTTTAGCCAGTGTGACCGGCGGGCGATAGTCTGCGTATACCACGAGACCCTTAAAAATATACCAACACATAAGTGGTGGTAATAAGTTTTAAATTTATATGTCAAAATTATTTAATTAAGCGAACGCTCGAACATTTTTTTTTAAGTTTTAAGCTTAAGTTTCTTTATTCAATAGCTTAACTACGACGGAAATTTGTGTTATTATTATAATTTTTTTTTAGTGATTTTTCAATATGCCAGTGTGGCTGTGGCCTTCATTTTCCAATGAAATGGCGACGAACAATCGAGTGCGAATTGTTGTGGTTGGCGATTCGGGTAAATAATGGGCGCCAAAGGCTCCCCGTGCCACTAATCCTCTCGAGACTCTCCTCTCCAGGTGTGGGCAAGACCTGCCTGACGCATCTGATCGCCCACAACGAGTCCCTCATCCGTCCCGGCTGGACGGTGGGCTGCAACATCCAGGTGAAGATTCATGAGTTCAAGGAGGGCACCGCTCGCCAGTGTCCCTACTTCGTGGAGCTGTTCGATGTCGGAGGCTCGCTGAGCCACAAGAACACCCGCAGCGTCTTCTACACGGGCATCCATGGGATCGTATTGGTGCACGACCTTACCAACGGCAAGTCGCAGGAGCAGCTGATCGACTGGCTGTACGAGATCGTCAACAAGGAGGGCAAGGATACGTACAAACCGCGTGGCACCTCCATGCCCCCATCGCCGCCCAGCCCGTTGAGCAGCTTCTCATCAAACACCTCCGGCACGGACTGCCACATCCGTTTCGACATGGAGGAGTTTCTGGGCGCCACGCAAACGCCCATCCTGGTCATGGGCACCAAGCTGGACCTCATCGACGAGAAGCGGCACCCCAAGACGGCTGTGAAAAAGGCGGGCGGAATAGGTACCTCCAAATATTACCACACAAATATTTTCTACCCACATTTATCCATTTTATTATCCACCAGCCGATAAGTGTGGCGCCGAGGAGATTTGGCTGAATTGCCGGGATAACCGCAGCCTGGCCGCTGGAACCACTGATGCCGTGAAACTATCCCGCTTCTTTGACTGTGTTATCGAAAAGCGCGAATCGCTAGGCGGCAGCGGAGGCCACGTATTTGGAATGGGTGGCTTCACCGCCGGCAGTCCGCCTGATAGGCGACGTTATGGCCCGACCAGTGCCAGACTGGAACCAAGCGCCGTGCCCCTTCTGGAGACCAACGACCTCAAATGACTAATGCATTCAATTCGATAGTTCTAAGTCGGAGTGTATATACAGTTGCGGAGACATTAATAGCACCATAAGCACATTTCGTGTTTGTCCCAGCGTTTCTGTATTTTCTGACACTTTTTCATCATTTTTCTGGGACTCCACGCATTAAGGTTGTTTTGTCTTAAGCGTTTGCATACTGTTTTCACGCTTTCAGCTATCTGAAGCTCCTTCTTCAGTTCCGTTGCCGGTTTAAAAGGCTCCTTCTTGCTTTGCCAAACCAAGCGCTGGATCTCCACGTTGGACATTGAGGGCTTTCTTCCACGTGTTTCGTTCTTTTCGACAAACAGCAGTGCGTTGCGGATCATTTTATTTTCCGCATCGAGGCGACTCTCCTCAACGGCACCATCTATATAACATCTATCTATAAAAACAAAAAGAACCGTTACATTGAGAGTAAAAATTTCTTGCTCAGAGAGACAACATATGGTACTTATTATTCATGCAATCTGACTTTAAAAAAATAAACATTCAATAATTTTTTTTAGGAAATAAACTTTCCACCTGCAGTCGTGCTATTTTTTAGCCGCAGCTGTATACTACTACAATCATTAAAAAACAATTAATTCAAAAAAATTAACGTTAAATCAGACTTGCTTTTCTTAGGTGTCCGCCGTGAGCAATTCTCGATACCAATCGGGCAGGATTTGGTGTTCCGGGCCGCTCAGCACTTCGTAGTAGGCGCGCTTATTGCGAAAAGTCACCTGGACCACAGCAAACGGATCGTTAATGGCCACCAGCAGCTTCTTAAGATTGTGCAAAAACTGTTCCAGGAACCAAGCCATTGCCGATGGATTCCACGGCTTGTTGCGGGCCAGTGTGCGCACATCGATCTCATCGATCTTCTGCACCATGCCCTTGGCGTCGCGCAGTCCCACGTAAATCGTTTTGATGGCCACCAGGAATGACTGACTCCACCAGTTGGCCGATTTGAACCCATCGAAGCTGCGCATTTGGTGTCTGTTCATATTGAAGGCGCTGGTCTTCAGCTCCACGAAATTCAAGGAGTCGAGCACACTGGGATCTTTGAAGTCACTAATGGGAATCATATAAATACATATACAGACAATGAAGGGACCATTGATTATTCATAAATATGCTGAATCTGGAAACCAATAAGTGGAATTGAACCCTGGACCACTCACACTGGTTTTTTGCTGTCCACACAGTCCATTTCGGCGCCGTAGAGCATCCCAATTCCGGCTAGGTCCACTTGATACACGCCCACAAACTCCTCCGCCTCGTTGACCGGCACATTGGTGACCGGTTTGCCCTGCGCCTGGGCACTGGTCAGGTACTGCTCAAACTTGAAACCCCAGGAGCACATATCTAGCTGTGCCTTGGTCATGTTATCGTCCTCCTGCTGCTGTTCTGGCGTTGGGTTCTTGGCCATATAGATGGTGCCGTTGAGGAGAGTCGCCTCGATGCGGAAAGTGCGATTAGTATCATACTGCAGGCACATTATCTGCCGCAAAATACCACGCAATGTTACAAAGTCGGTTCCCAGAAAGAGATTTCTGGGATCGGAGCTATTCTGGCGGAGCAGTTCCTTCTGGTGATGCTTGATATAGAGCAGCATAGTTTCCAGATCCCGTTTGGGGTGTTCGAAAGGCTTGCGGATAACATCCTCTATCCCATCGTTGAGATCAATCGGCAGCGGTGGCCACGGTTGGCCAGCCAGGTAGCTGGCGCAGCTAGCGTCGTCCACATAATCCCGGCTAGCGTTTACACTGTAAACGCCAATGCATTTCGGGCGGCTCATTGAAGGAAACGGCCTATTGTACTGCCCGCCCAGCCGGTGCTGCTGCCAGGGCACATTGATGAATCCCGTGTTCTCGGCCATTTCCTTTGCCCATACGGATTTTCGAAATCAAAGCTTTTCGGAAAGAAGATTTTCCGGAAAATAAAGGTAAAAACGAGCTGACCGCCTTAGCTTGGGACCGTGGTGAATATGAAGTGTAGGCGATTAATATCGGAAGCCTAATTGTATTGAATATGATGGTAGGTTTAATGACAATGATGATAATGAGTAATTTAATTAGTATAGTTAACCCGATTGAGAGAGAAAATCGTAGCTCTTCGATATTCTATATACTCTGTTAGAGCCGTAAATTTACCACGAGGTTTTTTTTTTAATTTAAATCAAACAAATTGTGTGACCTCAGTCATGGGAATCCAAAAATATACTAAATAACTACATATGTACTTCCAAAAAAAATACCAAAATAGCACTAACACCTTTAAATCCAAATTCCGGTTTTGTTATTTGATTTGTTTTTGTGATTATTTGAAAACACCAAAAGTGGCTGGTCAATGAAGCATCTCCTGGAGGATGCCTCGGTCTTGGCCGACTTGCAGGTGCTACCGGAGAAGACCGGTAGTGTGCAGGATCGGCAGGAGGCCCCCAAGAATCCTGCAGAGATTTCCGCGCCCGACCGAGGTTGGCCGGGCGCTGCAGACGATTCGCTGCGGGAGAGGGATACTCTCGGGCAACTGGCCTGCAGTCTTCACAAGCTATCCAAAAACGATCACATAGTCATCGATCGGTGGGTAGTAATCAGTTTTTGTTTGCTTTCACTAACTTTCTCACTGACCTGTAATCCTAGAAAGCGCAATCAGGTGATTCGCACGGATGCGGTGACGCAGCAGATAACGATTTACCGTTGTCCGGATCCCGCTGGCATGGGAATTCGCCCGGCGCTCGAGAAAGATCCACCGAATCCGCCGCCCAAAGTGGGAAGACCATCGAAAAGAGCCTGTGCAGTTGCCACAGCTCCTGTGGCAAAAAAACCATCACTGGCGGAGCAGAAACCCGCTACCGACACCCATCGCACCAGATCCGGTCGCCAGGTGCGCAGCTCAATGCCACAGCCCGCTCCCGTGACCAGTGGCCCTGCCGTGGAGCCAAGTTCTGCCCGCATGCTGGAGATGCTGGTGGCGGATTTGCGCGACAAGAACTACCGAGCACCTATGCCGGCGCCGAAAAGTACGAGTGTCAGGAGCAGTATCAGTTTAAGCCAGGAACCTGCTACAACGACCACCCAACGAGCTGTGCCCAAGAATGCAGTTTGTCCGGGCTGTGGAAAGATTTTTCTGGGACGCCGTCTGCAGCGTCACTTTGTCAAATTCCCAGAGCACATGCCCCGTCCGGGCGAGCATCCACCACCTGCAGCTGCAGCTACAGCACCGTCAACAGCTACTCCTCCGTCCACGCCCTCGCTTTTCGGCCTTCTGACAGCCCAACTGCAGCGGCATTCGCATCTCAGCGAGGAACAGCGCTCTGATCTCTTTCTCAACGAACTTAATGACTTTGTGGAGCAGCTGCAGTTGCGCAGCCAACGGCTTATACGAAATACCTCTGGATTGCATTTCGTAAATGCGCGGATTGCACGAGTTTTGGGCATACCCGAGGGTCAGTATGCCCTGGATATGTCTGCCATGGAATCGCCGCTGGCCCCGATGCCGGAACCAGAGGGAGCAGCTTTGGTTGCCGGCAGCGGTCGTACCGAAGGAGCCCGCAATCTAGTGGTCTACGCAGAGCTGAGCATGTCGCTGGACGATCCGCTCACTGACGAGGCTGCACAACGTCTTAATCTGTCGGCGGGCGGTCAGCTTCACCCGCCTTCCGAGGAGAGCCTGCTCAGAAATGTAAGCGATCTTATGCAGCCGCCAGTGGCAACTGCTCCTCCAACTGTGAACCATGGCTACGATCATGCCAGCGACAATGCCGTGGAGGCCCTGACCATGAAGGAAACGCCCAACACAGAGGCCATTCTCGATCTCAACGTGGACTTCTTCCAGTTTAACCCGAATTAGAAAGGACAATTACTTCGAACGCAGTTATCAAGCCATTGAGTAGAAGAATCCTATGATAGAATGAAAGGTATTTCAACTACTTTTTACGTTGAACACTGAAAGTTTATATGAATACGAAAGTTTAAAACATTTATTTTATGTTCGTGTATATGGCATGAAGAAAATCACTTAAAAACCTACATGAACTTTTCTAAGAAGAGTATTAATGGATTATGTAAATATAGAATACATTCGATATATTTGTTGCATAGATTTTTGAACTTTTACATAAGATTAATATTGAAACTTAATAATTTCAAAAGAAACAAAATGAAAAGCCATATATCTTGCAATTAGTAGGTCAATGTAAATGGATGAGTGGGAAAACTGCCCGGTTGATGGAGATTATTTATGAAGTACTTAACTGGCTCACGAAAGATGCCTATTAAATGAATTTAGCCACCCTGAGTTTTAAAATGGATGCCTTATTATTTGCTGGAACATTTGCTGGTGATAAAATATCTCAGCCAATTTAGTTTAATGTTTTCATATTTGCGTTTACTACACATCAATTAAATTGATCGCAATTTTAATGGCGTTCAGCTTAATTGTACATTTCCGTGAAAATATGATTGCGTTTAGTACAAAGCTGCTGCTCAAATAGCTTTCAAAGCCTATGCCTGTGTGTAATAATTTTTCTGGAATATCTGTATTGAAGAGCGTGCGTGTATCCATGTTTACTTTCAGGTGTATAGTTTATTTGCCACGGTGTAATCGTATTTTCTGGCCATCCGCTTGATTTTCCAAATCCGTGGATTGCAGTGGGGTGGCTAAAATCAATTTGGCAGTTATCACTGCAAATGGACGACCGTGTTTGCCCTGGTTCAATATGATTAAAGCTGATGACCGCCATGGACTTGCACCTGCAAGTGCAGTTGGATGTCACTATAAATAGTGGAGATCCGAAAAAGTGCGGACGCAGTGCATCATGAAGACGTTGACGGAAAGCAGGCGGCGCTACAGTGGTTCCTTGGCGTGCAAAAAGGATTCCCAATCGGATGACGATGAGAATACCATCTGCAGCAGGGCGGCCATCAAGAGGAGTGTGGTTTACTACCTGAAGAACAGCACTCTCCATGGATTAAAGTACATCGCCGAGGAGAGCATCACTATTCCGGAACGGTATGTTTTTTGTATTCTATTTTAATGAATAATGAATCTGTCCGTCTGAACGTCGAAATCTCGGTAATAAGATGATAATAAGATCGTTTTTTAGAATCTTTTTTGGTCTTGCCTTCGTGCTGGTGGTGATCCTTTCCGGGTTCTTCATATCCAACGTGTACGTGAAGTGGAGTGCCTCGCCCATAATCATTTCCACCAGTGCCAAGCAAAAGTTAACCAGCAACATGCCTTTTCCGGCGATCACGATCTGTAATCTCAACCAGGCGCTGCTCAGTAAGGTGGATCGCATTGGCCGGACCAGTACAAATTTCTCGCTGCTGATGGGTCTGTGTGACCAGGGCGGGGACACGACCATCTCGTACATAGGTACCTGGAAGTACTTCAAGGCGATCCTGGTGGACGTGGCCCAGCCGTGCGAGAAAATGCTCCTGTACTGCAGCTTCGGATCGCGGGAGGAGGACTGCTCCGGGCTCTTCACCTCCATACTGACGGACGATGGGCTGTGCTGCAACTTCAATGCCCTGCATCCGTCGTATCTTATTCGGAATTATAGTGACGATGTGCGGCTGGAGACGGCTCATCCGAATACCCGCTATGAGCCAATCGATTGGACACCAGAGAAGGGTTATGCTCGCAACTTACCCGAGTTCTACTTTCCGCGCACCTCGGGTGGCACGGGAATCCGCATGGGTCTCACCGTTGTACTGAACGCCTCCATAGCGGAGTACTACTGCACCAAATCCATGAGTGTGGGTTTCAAGGTGGGATAGAAAGCATTTAGTAAACTATTTATTGTATGTATTAATACGCCTTGAAGGTCCTCGTTCACAATCCCGCCGAACTGCCGAAAGTGAGCAACTATGGCTTCGTTGTAACCGCGGGACGCGAGGCACGGATTCCCATCGAACCTGTCTATGAGGATGCCCTGCCTACGATACGGTCGATCAAGAAATCAGTGCGCCGCTGCGTCTTCTCCGATGAGAATGACTTGGCCTATTACCGGACATATTCGCGTAAGAACTGCGAGCTGGAATGCGAGGCAAAGTTGTTGCTCCGCGAGTGCAGCTGTGTGCTGTACTACCTCCCCCGGATCGATCCGCTGGCCAGGGTGTGTGGCCCCAACGATAACCAATGCACGAATCGGGTCCAAACCGAGATTGAGTCCTCGCTGACGAATCTATCCTGCGAGAGCTGCTGGCCGGGATGCTTTGAGCTCACCTACAAGGCCACACTTTCGACGGCTTCGATCGTTTCGGACCCGAGATTTCAGGCCGGCGAGAATCTACCCGACTATATCTTCCACGGACCATACAGCAATGCCAGCGAGATTTCGATCCTGCACTTCTACTACATGACCAACATATTTCGCAGCACCACCAAGTCCGAGATGTTTGGCTTTACCGAATTTTTGTGTGAGTTATGTTCGTTGCAAATCAACTGCGAACATTATGAAAAAGTTTCCAAAACTAAGATACTTTAACCAAGAAGAAGTGCAATGTAGAATTATAATTAATTCAATCTCTTACCTTTCCAGCTAATACGGGCGGTCTCTTGGGACTTTTCATGGGCTTCAGCATTTTCTCGGTGATCGAGATCTTCTTCTACATCACTGTCCGTCCGTACTGCGCCTCCCGGACACTTCGGCAGCGTCACAAACGCCGTCAGGAGCAGCTGCGCTGGCTGACTCCCATCCGTATACCAGTCCGCAGAGCTATGCGCCGCAACCGGGGTGGTCTGCTCCGGAATCCCCCGCCGCCGCCCTACAGTGACCTGCAGAGGAACCGCGGGAAACTGGACAAACCGGTGCCGGGCAAGAGGAAACTTTGGCGGGCGCTGCAAGTGCGGCCAGTGGATCGGGTGGATGCGGAACTCCCCACCTATCCTTACTTGGACTAGGTTTATGTGTTAAAGATGTATGCACGGGAAAAAACACGCTTTCACTGCATCGAAAACCAAAAAAGTAGCTTGAAAGCAATGGAATTGCTTCATAATTGGTAATTATTGAAGGACAAATTTTGAAGGTAAGATGCGATACCTTGTTTAAAACTAAAGAATACAAAGGCACAGCGCTCAAAGATAGAAATACATCAATTGACTGGATTTTCTCTCTCTGTTGCCACGTTTCCTATCTTCTTATTTATTGTTCTTCTTGCATAGTCGAATGTTTATGGCCCAGAAAACAGTACAACAATAAATAAATCCACGGCAAAGACAACAAAAAAAGGGCAACGAACGCCGAATCCATGGGTAAAATGACCTCAGTTGCCACTGAAAAAAAATTATATCTGTTTGAAGAAACTTCTTGTAAAAGAACTTCAAAGGACGACATGTATTTGCCTTGCAGTTCTAAATTAAACCTCCATTTGAAAGTTAAGTTCATATTGAAAGCACTGTACTTACATACCAACTTTTTCGCTGCGTGTAGACAGGGAAAAACGGGGCTGCGCCGGAAATTTGGACTGCGCCCTCTGCTTTGCGGATATCAGCTAATGGCGCTAATCGCCACGCGACTCCAATTTTAATTGATACCGAACTCAGTTTCTCCCGCTGCCCATACGAAGCAAAAAAATAAATATTTTTTGGTTAAGGAAAAAATTAAATTAAATAATTTAGTTGTATAACATTTTTTTAATATATTTACATTTATTTTGTTTAATAAGATAAACAAAAAAATGTCATAACTGTCGTTCATAGTTATTTATATTCATAGTTCAACTTGTATATATAAATAAAAAAAATATTTAAATATTATGAAGCTAAGAAAAGTTGTATATTATATGATATATTTTTCAGGGCATTCAGAGTTCGAATTAGCCAACGTGTTGCCCTTGTTTAGCTTTGGCCGGATTGTGTGCCAATTGAAACTTAATTGAGAGGCAATTTTGGTATTGGCCAAATTTTGTTCCGGATTTTTGTATTTAGCCAACGAAATTCGAACATGAAACGAGCAAGAATTTCGCAGGGCTGATGTCACTTATCCGTTGTTTTCTTTTTTCTCTTTGATTTTTTTCTGGATTTTAACGAGCTGCTTTCGGGGGAGGTTTGGTGAGACCAAGTGACACCACTCAAGTCCAATGCTCTGTGGGATCTCCTGAGAATCCTCACCCATCAATGTCAAGTGGTCGAGTGTGTCTGTTTCTGCGAGTTCTCGACTTCACATCTCGCATCGCTCTAAGTACATAAGTGCCTTATTTCGCTACGTTTCTCCCCCAACACATTTTTTTCTATTTCAGACGCTGCCCCTTTTATGTTTTTTTGTTGTTTTTATTTTAGTAGTAAACCGCGCCATCCCGAGGATCTTTATTACACGGCCGGCCAGATGGAATATCTCACATAGCGCTTACACATCCGATTCTTTCTTTTTTTTCAATATTCTTCGATTTTGGGATCTTCCTCTTTTTCGAGTGGGGATTATAAACAAACAAGTGGCGGATTGTTTATGGGCTTAGTCAGTGAAGTAGCGGGAAAACTGCGGATGGAGACCTTTAAACGCACTGACTTCCTTCAAAACATTAAAGTGCATCTACATTCAATTAAATTAAACATGGAAAAATATATTTCAGGGAAAATACTTTTTGGTAGAATCTTAGTAATAATTTAGCCATCTCTTGTGACCATTAATTTCGAGCTTTAAGTACACAACTTTTTCGCCAGCCCATAAACTCTACTCTACGCCATTGTCTTTCGTCCATTCAGTTGGTCTGAATAATCTACTATATATCTACATACCTCGGAACGTTTCACTTTCGCCGGCTGTTGACGTGGGGCCTCCAGTTTTATGGGGATATATTTTATCTGTCCGTGATTCATGGGATTCATGCCACCACAGACATTCCCGCAAACTAACATGTGTTCGCCGGTTCCAGGAATTAGGAAAACTATCCGCCGGAATGGATTACAGATCTTGGATTAGTTATGGCTTCCTTCTATCGTCACTATTATTTTGTATGCGATCCTCAGCTATTCCTTTAATTCCTTTACAGGCAGAACTCTGTAGACCTTCTTAGTTCTCTTTGAATCAAACTGATTAATGCCCAGCCACATTGCTCATACGCAGCGTTGGTCTCCCATGTTTAGTGCTGTAGCAAGTCGTTTAATTGTGGTAAAATAAAACAGTGACATGCATCGCTCACCTACACGGAGAACTGAAAACAACAACGGCAACAGCAGTCATTTCCTTTTGGTTATTTATCTAATTTGGACAGTGCGCCACGCAAGCATAAGACTTATGCGAAAAAACTTCTCATTTATATATACATATTAAAACCACAACCAAACCATAATATATCTTTTCTAAATTCCAAATTAAATTAAGTTGTGGTTTACAATAATGTATACACTCTCTCCCAAGCAATACGTGTGTGTCGCGCACTGTAGCTGGATGCTTAAATGTTTATGCTAACGGCAGCAACAATTGGCCGGCCCACGTGGGTGGATTTGGATTCGGATCTGTATTTAGCTGCGGCTGTAGCTATGAGGTGGCATGAAATGGTGATGGCGATGGTAATGTTAATGGGAAATGGGGCCGGACTCTGCCTCTGCCGGCGTCGCAGCGGCAGCATCTCCGGGCGGCATCTCCGGCGGAAAGTGAGAATTCAGTCGGAAACTGAACGCCGCGAATGCCGCCGCCTCCAAAAATTGTCGCTGCCCAAAGTCAGTAGTAAACCCAACTTTCAACCTGTTGTACCAAATCATAATTTCGATTCGAATCCAACAAAAGCTGGTTTTCTAAAGTTGAACTCAAGGAAATCCAACTGTGCCGTGCTCATAATTATTTTATTTTTTTTAATTTGTTACTGTGCGTGCATTGGCATAAGCGATTTGAATCGCCAGCTGTCGGCATCCAAGACCTGGAGTGGTGGTGCTAATCCCATAGAGAGCACAAAATCGGCAAAAGTTGCGAAATGCATTCCACGGCATGCGGCGTAGGTGCGTCGGCCACAAATCTCTCAACACTGCAATCGTAAGTTCACCTGAGGTCGACATGGGACTTGGAACACAGAAAAACTTTAAAACTTAAAAAAAAAAAAAAATATTTTGAAATAAAAATACGAAAAATACCGAATTATACTGAAATATATACACCGACAGAGTTTACTTACCTACCATTTTTGAGAAGCGCGTAGAACGGCGGTAAATAATGACACTTTTCATACCAAGATAAATACCTTTAAATACCTATATAATTCGTATTTTTTGCTTCTTAGGCAATTGCACAACAATACTTTATTATATTTTAAAATTGTTTCAATGTTTTTACTATAGTTTTTCTCTAAGTTCCACTAACTAAATACATCTTAGGCAGCATAAACAAACTTTTGGATATTTCGGTATGCTCTCAAAGGTAACCCTAAAGAAATGTTTACGTATCTTCAAAATGTCTGAGTGAATTCAAGGTAATCAAAGAGCAAATCGCTTCAATGTTGTTTACATTTACATGCCAGCCAAATATGTGCATTGTGCCCACCCCCCTTTTTTTTGTGTGTACTAGTGTTTCCTTCGGATATTTTTGTTGCCATTAGTTCAAACTTAAAGTTTCGTCGATTTCAGTGGACCGCAAAACAATCCATCAAAAACAGGGATAATGCGGAGCGCGGAAAAACCAACAAGTGAAATTCTTGTGCTGTGTTTTTTTTCTCTTGCTGGGAAATGGAAATGTGGTGGGGCGGGGGCGTGGTCACATGCTGGGCCGTAAAGTAGCTCACATGAAGCGCAATGTAAACAATTACTCACTCTGCTCATTTCCCACTTTTTTCCTCTTTTCCCGCCCATCGATGTGTGTCAGACGAACCGAAAATAGTTTCCACAGGATGATTAGGGCGTGGCATGCCACATGAAAGCGCAACACAATGTGGAGCACTTCAACAACGAGAGATCAAAAAAATGAAAACAAAAACTTCGAGTGCCAGAAGGGTATTTTTTCGGCGACCATTTAATGACCCTGCCAAGTGCCTCCCTCTTTATCTGCACTTTTTTTTTCCAGTCGCGGGGGATTAATAGGCACACACAAATCCCAGACTTATCCGACAAGTTCAAATATGCAATCGGACAATATTATTCTAAATAATAGTGTTAGTAAAAAATGAGTGTTCACTGAGCGAGGAAGAGTTCAAAGGGACTTAAGAAAAGATTTAAGAAACAAAGCTTACCAGAATAATCTAGTATGTTATATGTATTTATTTCTTAGGCCACGCGGAGAAATCAAAAGGAATATGTTTACTTTTCCATATTTCAATGGCTGCTCTATTTTATTAAAGTCCATTTTTTTGTGCTTAAAGTAATTTTCAGTTTTAAATCAACACTCTATTCTATATTCCTATTCACAGCAAGAAAACGGATTATTATTGAATTTTTAATTCATAAATTCGTTCACTGTTATCAGTAAAAATTCACAAACATATAAATCTCGATTTCCGCGCCCCTTCTCCACTGCGGGTGCGAGTGAGAGGGTAGATCGGGCCAAGGTTAACTGGTTAAATAAATTTGTGACGTCACCGCGTCGGCGTCGCCAACAACCAACGCACTAAAAGTTCAAAAATTCAAATTGCAAGTGATGAATGTGTATTTTCCTCTGCATTCGCACCTAAAAAGTCTCAGCGAGCAAAAATCCATTTATTTAATTTGGGTTGGGCCTGTGACCATTGATGGGCAGCTTAGCTGGGGATCGCAGTTGCAGAGGTGATATTTATAAAGATTTTTAACTGACATTTTTGTCTTCTTTATATTTAGGGTAAATTTATTATTATGCTTTGAAAATATTAATAATGTGCTATTATTTGATTCAGCTTTTATAAAATATACAAATATTATCCACTTGTTTAATATTTTAATTATTTATTATTAAGTTTTTAATACAAGAGCTGTGATTCAGTATGCAAATCGATATGAAGTGGAATGGGGTAAATAAAATCAAGCCAAAAGAGCCGATGAAGCAGGGTTAAAAGTTGAGTTTTATTTTATTATGAACAGTGGGAGGAGTCCGCGTGATGGATTCCCTGTAATTAGCCCATTGTCATGTGGATGGACGCAATGCCGCCCACTCCGCCCACAAGCGTGCGCTTCAAGTACAGTGAAGCCTCCTCTATACGCCCTCCCCTTCGGTCAGCATGCACCATGCATTTAAGGAAAATGATCATAGCATGCCAATTTAAAGGTGATCAGATTAAGGTCATATCTTTGTTTGTTGTCACACATTGGCAAACTGAGTTGTGGGTCAGTGAGGTTGGGCTGCACCGAAAGAAACAGCTTGGCACATATTAATTGATACAATACTAGCACAATACAATCAAATTATAATTGTGTTAAGCTTAGATCAATTTCAACCAGAATTTCAATTTAGAATACGATCCTCTGAGGCTGGTTAACCTTTTTGCTTTTAAAATCACATTTTTACTATCACCTTAAGCCTGACTTATGGAGTGCCTGAGTGGATTAGTTTTTTCGAGTATACCCAAACTGCGCTCAACTGCCGATAATTTGTGCAATTTGTTGACACACATTTTAATTTTTTCCGTGCGCTCTTTTTTGTTCGCCGTTTTGTCGTCTGTGCCTTTGATTTGCCTCTGGATCCAGCTACTATATA